GTAAAGACTAGGTCTTTATGTTGTTTTAGTAGATCACACCTGCGTAAGTGACTGTTTACAATATAATGTATTTAGCTACTTAATAGTACAGGTAAAGGTGACAACTGGTCGGCACTAGTTGCTGACCCAGGATTATATACTAGAACATTATGTAAGGTACTATATACTTTATGTAATAATATTATGTAACTAAGTGGACACATATATGCATCCATAATAGTCCATAAGGACTTAGAGATAATTGATGAGAAGTCAATTAGATATATACACATATATAATGTAGATGTATATATGTGTCCATATAAGTCCATAGAGACTTAAGGAGGAGTGAGTGCAGATCCCTTACACTATCACTATCTCATGTGATTTTAAGAATCATTGGAAGCCATCATACAGGGTGCGTTGCTAACCTTCTAACACCTTTATGTAGGACCTTGAGTCACAAATCTTGATGTGAAGTGTTCAGAGAGAATCCATCATCCTGTATCATCACTCCCAAACAAATATCAACCCCCAATGGTATCTAAGTAAATTGTATTTATTTAAGTGGCCAACTGTTAACATTCTGTGGTACTTCTTCAGTTGAGGGTGATTTTGAAGGATAATTGATAATACATTACTTCCTAAAAGAAAATCATGTGGCATCATCGTCTTCCTTTTCGAGGTCTCTGGGCAGCAATAATGTTCGTCGGGGACTTCGGCTGCGATACATCAAAATAATCCTATACCTAGAGGAATTTTGAGACATTATTATTTTATGCACCCTCATTGATAATCGTTTTGCTCATAACTGATCATAGGTGTATTGCTAATTTCGCACATAATTTTCAGGTATTATTCATACTCCTTAATTGTGTAGACCTCCTGCTAGTATGTACATTCAACCTCTGAGAAGTGTGAAACAGCAAAGCGGCTCCATTGCGTGCCTACAGCAGATATTACCGTGGGAGGAACAAACATCACCAAGGATACTTAAAAAATTCAAGCATCGATATCAGCGCGTTGAGGACGAACTTTTCTTCTGCTGCACCAGTAGACCCGGGGAGCGTGGAATCCAGGTACATCGTGGTTATTATCCTCACAATTCGTACATTTGGCTGATTGTAAAGTATAGCATATCTTCGGAGGGGCTTTCCCTATCTCAACCATTTGACATCTTAGATCGTGTCGTTTTCATCATCGAAGAACATAAAGACTTCCTCGCTTTGGCTCTGACCAGTCGTCAATTCTCGACGTTGTCCGCCGGAGTATCGCACATTTCAATGCTTACCCAGCTGCAAAGAAATATGGGAAATACATCGCACAACTCGGGGTGTCGCCTCCTATTTCAGCCATCTCGCCATCACCCTAGACTGGAACGATAACCCAAGGAATATATTTAGGTTGCACGAATTGAAATACAGGATGCCAACAGAATGGGCGCCTCTTCACGAAGACATTGATTCTGAGGGTTTGAAGTACACGGTTAGAGGCGAAGCCGGACTGATGATTAGAGACGAAGCTGAACTGATGATCGTTCCTTAGGCAATTTCCAACATGTGCAATCTGAAAACCTATTCTTGGGGATATTGGGACATCTTATTAAAGGCTCCCCAAATTCTGCCCACCATTTTCTTCTTCTTGGCCAAGCACTGTGAAACGTTGGAGGGAACGAATATTGATGTGCGCAAAATAGACTATGATTCTGAAGTCAAGCCCAATTTGCGAGCACTGCTCCATACCAATTCTATTCCGGTGATGCATTTTGAATATATAATGTAGGAATAAATCTCTGATTATTTCTGGTATGTAGGAACAATCATTTCTTAGGCTAAACAAGTTGCGAATCAGCCTGACCGAGAAGACGTCAAGGCAAATGTTCTTTCGGGATTCTTCTTTAAGGTGTTAGAATTACGTTGTCCGGCACTCGTGGAATTGAGCGTAACGATTTCCATGAAATTACGTGTAGTAACGCTACCACTTTTGAAACGGCTCTCAGTCTTTCCCATTACTATATCTCGAGGCTCCGAAGAAATCAACCGTGCCTAGATACAGTTCTTTCATAGGCATCCCCTTCTGGAAAACCTCCTAATGGACAATGTTAATTCAGTGTTCCCGGATGCTTTAACGACGGAATCATTTCCCAGCTTACAATAGTTGAGCTATCCGGTTCTCAACTCCACTACTTTACCTCGCCTTTCGAAAAGGCTCCTTTAGAATATAATGTGCCTTGAGGTGAGGGAAGTGTCATATGTATTCCCACCATCAGGAAAGTTGACACAGTCCGAGTAGCGCTATATAGTCTATATAGTGGTCTTAGCGTCCGTAGCTTCTTTAGCGTGACCGCCACTAGAAAAGGAGCCCTAGCAGCCTTAGCGAGGACCTTAGCGCCGTACTGCCATCGTTGCTGACAGCTAGCTGCGTGCTATATAGCACGATAAGTTGAACCTGTAGAATACCTAGCACCGGCTATCCCTCTCTATCACACTACTTTCCAGATATATTTAGGCACAAATATATAATTTAAAAAAATCAGATTTTATCGCAGCATGGGTATTAGAATATATACAATTATAAAAAAC